ATTAAGCTACTTGTGGTGTCTCTTCTTGCCTTTAGGCTTCTTTCCACGTCCCCCTGGCCTCCCCTTTTGGGGAAGCTCAAGGGTTTGGAGCGGTGCCATCAAGGATTTAGTATATTGACGGGCATATGCTCTGGCTGGTGCGTTAAAAGTCAGCTTAAGTTCAGCAAGCACGGCCAACCCTTCGTTGATGTAGATCCGGGCCGTCTTGGACGAGGCCCGCCTCCCCTGAACTAGGAGGCGATCTAAGGAGCCATGTCGCCCAAAGTACATCGTGGCCCCTCCTCTTCGAAGGCTGTAAGGACGGAAGTCGTGCCCTTGAAGCTGACATGCCTCTAGTGCATCGTTGAAGGTCTTTCTCCAACTGTGGGCAGTTCCACAGAGTAGCGCTGGAGTCTGGGGAGTTTGCAACCACTGCCATAGTCTCCGGAGAGTTTCTTCCTCTCTAATGGTAACGCTTTCGCTTGCTCCTACTCGCTTGCCTCCTTTGGTCATTCCGAGGGAAATGACGGCTGGTGACCTAGGTCCTACCTGAGTGACATGGTTCTTTCGGATCCCCAGGAGCTCCCCGGTACGCAGGAGCCCATGGAAGGCAAGGAGTAGTGAAAGCCCGAAAAGTCCATTTCCAGAAAAGAGCGCGTACCCGACAAGGACGTGCAGCGCTTCCACCGGCAAGGGTGGTGCCCTGTTTGGTATTTCGTTGGTCTGCCAAGTCCTCATCAGTCTCCATGCGCTGGGAAGGTGCCCCCGAAGTGCTGGCTGCTGGTCTTGCACGGACGCAATCGTGTCACAGGCGAGGGCCCGGCCCTCACCCGTCTCCCACAGGAACTCTATGTACTGCGAGAGGAGGTAGTCATGTCCTGCTGAATCCCTTGGGAACAGGCGCCCTTCATCTCTCAGGAAGCTTTTGTACTTTTCCAAAGCCTTGTTGTATCGATCTCTAGTCTTACTCTGAACCGCGAGGTTGCGAAGTGGGCCTAAACTTCTACCTTCCAGATGCGCTGCCTGCCTTCTCACCATTTCTTACGAACAGGCCGCCTGGACGGCCGATCCGCTGGGTTTTGAGAAGTATGGACATACGCCCATACTCCATGGTTGCCAGAAGCTAGAAGTAAAGCATCTATTCGACAGAGAGTTCTCCTCATCTTCCTGCTGCTGCTTCGTCCACGCGACAAGGAGTGTAGGCACACGAGACTATCGATCATATGAATAAACTTCGAGTGGAAAGTCTTCTGCTTCACGATCCGCCACCTCAGGGTGGTGAGGACGGCCCGCATCTCAAGCACGTTGATATGTTCGGGGCTGCCACGCCAATGCCACCCAGTGATGGTCTTCCACTTCCACAGTGCTGCGGGCAAGCTAGCTCGAAGGCGATGATATCGGAGAGTCTCCTCGGATTGGGCCTGGATCATGATGTCCTCACCCTTCAAGCTAACTAAGTTCAAAAGCTTCTCAACCAGCATGCGGCTTCCAGGGCGGCTCCCCTCTGCAGTAGGAGCCTTCAAGGGAGGTCTCTGCAAAAGGCCAGCTACCGTAGTGCTAGTCCCCGGCGTGGTCAGGTTCACCACCTCTTGTGGACTGAGAAAAGGACATAGTCCCAACTGGCCGCCTAGCTGGGCAAGCAACCAAGTCACCACGGTGACGTTCCACGTGTTGCCAATCAGCGTCTTGCGCTCGTCAATGTGAGCTTCCGTACCATGGAACTGTTTGCTCATGCACTGAAACGTGTAGTCGCGAGGGAACCCCATGATGACCTCCCTCTCAACTATCTCCGGCAACCTCAAACGACCTCCTGGTTCTTTAACAAGGTTCTTCTGCTGATATTGGTAGGGGGGAAACCTGTATCGATCTTCCTCCCAGGCTTGCCTTTCCTCTTCATCCAGTGAGTCGAGACCTGCAGGTCTCCGGCCAGGATTGTCCCTTGGACGTGAGGTCGTAAAGGTTGGAAGCGGGGCTGGAGAAGTGCGCTGGCACCCCTCCCTTAGGAAGAGCTCTGCTTGCACATGGGCTTGAAGCTCCACTGTCCTGTAGCAACCACTCCCCGACCCAATAGGAGGCTGTTGCACCAATAAAGGCGAGGTCGACGGGCCAACGAGACTCCAGCGGCATCGATGGAGACGGGAATATCACCAAACGACTCTGTCATGACCTTCCTGTCGTCCTCATCCATACTCATGACGCTTTCAGCCAAGTAGCGTACCTGCGCCCAGCAAAAATGCAATTGAACCAGCTCGCGGATTCGGGCCACGTGACTGAACAAACAGCTGCGATGATCTCGAAGAGCACCACGGCGGTTGGCGTTTAGCCCACTCACTCCTTGACACGGAGGGCCGGCACCAATGAGGACTACGGCCGCCTGGGAGTATCGGGCTGCCCATGCCCTAACCATCTCATCATCTACCACTTCCACACCGCCATCTACAAACAGGGTGGATGGAAAACGACTCTCAAGGACCCTGCTCGCTTCCTTCTTCACTTCCACACTGATGTGACCAATCACTCCCAAGCCAAGAGTGTCAGCTGCCACTCGCAGTGCTCCTATCCCGTCGAACAGCCCTATCGTGAGTACGGCATTCAAGTCCTCCGGATCGGCCAAATCACCACGCACCTTCGCGCCAGCCGCTGCGAGCCCAAAGCCTGTTAGACCTGTGCTGGCCGTGATTCCTCCTCCCGTAGTTGAGGCGTCGCTGGCCGTGACCTCCCCGCTGACCAGGAGGCGGAAGTTCAACTTGGCTAAAGGAACTAAGCAAATGAACCTCGCGATCTCGAGCTTGACCCCGTCTGGGATGGTGAACTTGATGAAAGGCGGATATCCCCGAAAGCTTTCAATGAATTGCCAAACGTGATTCAGGCAGCCTAACAGGGGTCGTCTGAACATGCTGATGTACACCAGGCCTCCCGCCACCACTTGGGCTTGCTTCTGACTGCACAAAGTCTCCTGAAGAAGAAGTGATGCCAAGGCGACATACTTGTAGACTTTCACTGGTTTGGGGTAGGCAACACCAGCCTCTCCATCAATGATTGCTCCTTGCACTTCGGCTTTCAATGCTCTGCAGACCGCCTTCTTGGGGTGACGCGGGATGCCCCACTCTTCATACTCAGCCCTCAATGCCAAGAGAGCTGGGCTCGGCTCCCCTTGCAGGAGCTGAGCGGTCTTGTGGTCCATCTTCTCCAGCAAGTCGAAATTGTCAAGGTACACTCTATGCAGGGTTGGCGCTCCAGAGAAAGGCTTGTCTTTACGAATCTCACCTGAACCTTCAAGGGAACCTGGCATCCGTAGTCCAGCTCGTCGTACGATGTTGCGGTGGACGTGCTGCGCTAGGCTGACCGAGTTCTTGAACCCCATAGGTAATACCTGAGATGCGAGGTAGTAGGGTCCATTCTGGGTTGGCCACAGATCTCGCGGGAGCACTTTGTTGAACGCCAAGAGCCTTCTCCACTCACCTGGAATCTTGAAAATATAAAAGAAACACCGCACATCTTCAGATGACACGACTAGATCCTCTGTGGGCATGACCTGCAGTGGCCCCATTGTAGCCCAACTCGGTAGAGTCGAGACGTCGCCCTCGAGCGCTCGACATACCAAATTGCATGGTCGTAGGTCCATGATCAGGCGGTGAATGGGAATGCCGTTGACCTCTTCGTCCTTGGGCACGCCAAAAAGGCCGTTGAGAACTGGAGCTCCGTCCACCCGGTAGAGCTCGCTCTCGTGGATAGGAGTGCAAACTCCCCGTTCCAACAATCCCTGGCAGACCTCAAACCAGTTGTCATCATGGACCAACACCCTTGGTGGCTTCATGCCCTTCTGCATCTCCCCGGGTAGGAGATAATCGAGGAAGTGGTCAACATAGTGCTTACAACCAAGTTCGCACACTTCTGACAAGTCTACTGACGCTACTTCTGCAGGCATAGCCGGGGCCAGGTTAGCCCAGGAGGTTGGGCGTGCACACAAGACTTCATCACCGCAATAATCGATGGTCTTTAGCTCAAAGAAACTTTTCCAAGAAGTCTCTTCCAATCTTTCGGGCCAACCCATGACCACTTGAGCCTCTTTATGTAACCCCTTAACTACCTGCCCCTGGACTCTTGTAGGATAGAACGTGTTCTCAACCGATTCCCCATAGAAGCTATTCAACGCACAACACATGCCCCTCACGATCACCACTTCTTGCTCAGGCGCCTCCACCATCTTCTTGAGGTAAACCATGCTGGTGGGCAACGGGAAAACGTCGCCCTTGGGCTGGGCCTTGCATCGCAGGTCGAGACCGATCTTCTCACATGTATGAACCAGCATGCTCAACACCCAAGGGACAGCGTCGGCAAAATTATCTCCTGCACTCGGCGGTTTCATGCATTCTTTTTCAAGCGCGACCACGTTCAGTCGTTCGCCCGAAGTCGGCAGGGAAGTAGCCAGAATACCCGGCCTCACGTCTGCCGCAACTGTGCTCCCGGCCTCCACGTCGACATGACGTCCAGTGGCCAGGTCATCTGGAAAACCATCCAGGCTCTTGCCTGGCTCCACCCCGTCGAGCTCCCCTTCAAATGGAGCTCTCTCCTCCGGTGGCTCATAGTCTGTCCTCATCTCTACTTCTCCTCTCTCTTTTCCCATTTCTTCGGATCTTCCTTCTGCTTCCCCTTCTTGCCGCGGCCTTTCGGATCTTTTCCTTTCTTGTTGACGTCGGTGCCGCTCTCGGTCCAGGAACTTGACCTCCATCCATCTCCTTTCCCCTTCGACTGGGAGGCTTCCGACTTGGTTTTGGAGTCCTCTTTTTGTTCTTTGATAGCCTCTCTGGCTTCGCTCCTTGTAGATAACACAGGGCGTTCCGGAGGTAAAACCTCGAGCCTCTGGGCTATTTGCCACGCCGCCCCCTGCGAAACCAGTTCGATCGACTTCAATCTCTGAACCAGACAGTCGGCCGATTCGGCCACTCGACCTTGCAAGATAAGGTCTATGGCAAAGCAAAGAGTCAACGCTTCCCTCGAAGGTGCACCTTGAAGGCGAGGGGCCATGGCTTGCCGGTAGTACTGGATCGAAAGGGGTTGAAGCTCCGAATCCTCCTGATGCCAGATCCCTCCAGTGCTTGTGAGTAAGGCACCCTGCATCTCCTTGAGTGCCTGTGCCGCGAGGAGGCCCGGTGCCTTCTTTGCGACCCGACGGATCTTGTGCTCCTCCGCGAAGACCTCTGTTGACTCCCCGCTGTAGGAGCTCCCCCCCGCTGCTTGAGCCGCTGCTGGATGATGACCTCTTCTTCTTCTTGGTCTTCTTCTGCGCCTTGTTGGCGAATCTCTTCCGGAACTTCGGGTCGGGGGAAAGTCCTGTTCCCCCTAGGACATCTTCCAGCTTCTTCTTTGCGCCTCCTCTCAGGCTGATCTTCTCTTTTGAACGTCCTCGACTCCGATCTCGATCGCGGCTTCTTCTCTTTCTCTTTTCTCGCACCTTCTTCTCGGCGGGATCCCTCTCTCCTTCTCGGCCTCGATCTCGACCTCCTCCAGCTACGGCCTCCCCGCCTGGGAGACCAGCCTCGGCTGGGCGAAGCACCGGGTCCACGGCGTCCACCAAGTTGCTCATCCATGGCAGGTCCTCCCCTACTCTCTTGCAGATGCTGCCGCCGTGGAGGAGGTTGTCGGCTTCTAAACGATCCAGACAGGCTCCTCCGCATAGGTGGACCCTCAGTGACTCCGTGGGATTGCCGCTCGCCCACTTCAACAGGTTCTCCTCGTCGGTGCCCTGCAGTTTGAGGGAGGCCTCGATGTCCCTTGGTGCCCGCACATGGAGATCTTGAAGTACTCCTGCGACTTCTCTCCTCAACTTCTGTCCTCACTTCACCTCCCCGAATAGGAGGTCTGTCCCTACCAGGTCGACGGAGAACCGCTGCTGGCCTTACTCTCGGTGGCATTGGTATGGCGATCAGGTCAACGACCTCCCTGACCTCCTTGATAATGCCGCTCACGCTTCTTGGCACCCTTGTTCACACCGTAGTAGGCTGGATCGTTCTTCCAGTCCTTGAACGGCCCTCGCCAGAAGTTCCCTGGTGGCCTCTGCTTGGCCTTCGCGACCGGGAGCCTCTTAGGTGGCCTTGGTGGCGACCTTGATGGCGTACGAGGCGGTCGAACGCTGGGCTTCGCTTTCTTCTCCTTCTCAACCTCCGTGTTCTTCTTGGGCGTCTTCCTTTCTGCCTCAGAGGAGGTGGGTCTCCTTCGTCTCCTACCTTCTCTACTTCTCGATCTGCGTGATCTCCTTCTGCTGCGACTCCTTCTCGACGACCTGTTCCTCGAGGAGCGGCGTCCGGACTTTTCTCTTGCCACCTTGGACCCACTCGAGTGCTTTCCTTCCTCTTCCAGGTCAACCAGACCGGGTCGGGATGTGCTCGGGCTTGTCCTCTTCTCCTCCTTCGGCTTGATCCAGCTCTTGTCGACCTCTTCTTCCCTCTTGGCGTCAGGAACAACTGTACTCCCCGACTTAGGAGTGGCGGTACCCTCGGCTGTCGTCTGTGCACGCTCCTGCTCACCAAGTCTCTCGAGTTCCTCCTCGAGGATGCTTGTCCAGATCCTCAGATTCTGCAAGCCCCAACCTCGTGCACGCGTGGGAAGCTGGTCAAGGGTCCGCCAAAAACGGTCGCGGCTGCGGCAAAAAGTGCACACCGTGTCAGTCTCCGCGCAAAGGATGCGACAGAGCCTACACGCATGCATACCCTTTGAGCCCAAACACTATTCAAAAAAGAGTGTCCGTTCAGTCGTCTTAATGTCCGGGGCCGGAAGTACATGTGTGTGTGTGTGTGTCTGTCCAGCCAAACTTCCGACCTCATGAAATCTGGAGGAAAACACAAACGGTCTGTATGAACAAACTCCCAGCCATGACGTGCCTTCTGCTCAACATCTTCGTTTAGCTTTGTCAGTTCCTCCTGCCTTGCAACAGCAGTTGCAGTTGGACAAGGAAGACAGCACGAGAAAAAGTGATCAAACTCTCGCCACTGCGAGCGCGCACACACACACAACGACAATCATGTTTTCCAGCGCGGGGCAACAGAAGCTTCCGGAGAGTGGCGCGAGCGCATGTGCCTAAAAGCAGCGCAAGGCAAAATATGAGATGCCAGGCCCCAAAGTCTGCTTCAGAATGTTCGAGACTAAAAGGATCTTGGTTTCCACGCGGTTGGACAAAGTTCAGAAGGATCTCCCGCTTTAGGTGATGTTGCAGAATGAGTCTTCAGCCTGGCTTTCTGCAAAGACAAGCGACAAAAATCAAGCCGCCTACCCCTGTCTTGTCCGTAGGAACGCAAATGGACACATGCGAAACGACTCCTGGACCGGCAGCCCATGAATTGAGAAACAGAGGTGAGCGCAGTAAGTGTAACACGTCCTTCCTTCCTTCCTTCCTTCCTTCCTTTCCTGAGGGTCCCACTTTGCAGTCGTGCTGATGCTCCAGCTAGTGCATGACCAATAGCAGCTGAGAATGACATGAAACCCCTGAAGCTTAAATTGGATCGCACAGTCCAAGCCAAGCCTCCCGCTTCTTCTGGGTCCACTTTGCCAAGGTATCTCCTTCCCACAGCCTTGGTCATACAGTTGCATGCTCCGGGTGCACGCCCAGATTGCGAGGACCGGACTCATTCATAACCTCAGGTGACAAACCGTCACAAAAGTGGAACATGGCCCCACCGCAGAACCTGCAAAGACCAGTCTTGACATGAGTTTTCACCTCCATAATGTCCGTCAAGAGGCCTCGAGCTCCTGAAAAGCGGTGGGGGAACATATGGCAAATGAGACCACCAACAGTCCCACAAGCATAAGGAGTGGTATACCTGACCTCACCGCAACTCTCTCTCTCAAAGTAAGCGGTGAAGGATGAAGAGCGTCCTCACATTCTTCCAGCTTTCGTTGACATGCCTCAAATGCATGCAAAGTCTTCAGGCCGACTGTCACCTTTACTTGCGGCACCCACATGCACAGTACAAATCGGGCATGCCACCTCAAGTGTCCATGCATTCAGGACGTGGTGGTCCCAGAATCGCACCTGCAAGAACTGATTGAGACTGAGAGAGGTCCATGGATACAACAAGGTGACCAGGCGGGTACAGGTGTCACGGTTGCTAACTCCCAGGCCTCGACATACGGCACCTCTTGGGCAATGCTGCCCTCAGCCTGCCCCAAGTTCTGGGAAATCCAAGCGACTGAGGTAATCACACTGTCATGTCCTGGCATCCCCTGATAAAGATTGTGGCTCTTGTGGAAAGTGCTTGAATCGTAGAGACCTTGCTTGCTAAACCTTTTGGGCTAGAAAGCAGGGATGAACCCAGCCCAAGCTCCTGCAGTTAAATTTAGAGACACCTCCCCGCAGAACTCAACTCCGACTATTGTTTGGTCCAGCTGTGACAGCCGATAGTTGGTGTGCAGTTGCAACCATGTGTCCTGCGAAGCATCCGATGCCTTACATGAGTTGCAGTTTCAGTTGCATCGCGCTCAGGTACGGGGATTGTCAACGTGCCGTGTCGTGTTGATGGCTGGCGCGAAGACGAGAAGGGGTTTCAGGTTGCAGTGGCAGCTTAGGTGTTCGTTTCTGGTGAAGGAGGCATGAGGGCGGCCGAAGCTTTGCAAAGCCATGAGAGCTTCGTCCTGGTCTGTATGAAGCAATTCCTTGGAAGCTTGCATCTTCGGTGTGGCAGCCCATACACCATTGATGGTATGATGATAGTCCTATCCATGGGCAGGGTTGACAACCGACCTAGACTTGTGGAACCAATTCCTGGCTCACCTCAAGCGCTTCCGAAGGGATTTTGTCGTGCACAAGGTTCGTTCACGCCTCCCGATAGTACGGATAGTACATGCCTTCGAATCGGACTTACTGCTGCTGGCCTCTCGAGCTGTTGGGAATGAAAACGGAAGGTTTGTCTCTCGGCCTCTGGGTTGGACCTGGTGACGTAGCTTGACGCTGATGCATACGGCACCTATGGAGTTGGTTTTGTTGGTAGGCGATTTTGTAAATGTTGAAGTCAATTCCGTCACGAGCACGACGTTCAGTGCTGATTTCAGGGTAATTTCGGCGGTTGTTCTGGATCTTTCGTGGTCACCTCAATTACTCTTTGGACATCTGGAAGGTCACCCTGGAGCGACTCTAGGGTTTTCCGCTTAGTACGGAGAGGTTTCTGTTTCAGGGGAACAAACCAATCAGGAATGCTCAGGTATGGATGCAAAGGGTCGACCATGACCAGGTGTGGTTCTTCTACTTAACCGAAGGACCCAACACTGCAGCGCAGTCCACGTGCAAACCACCAGGCGTGCTATCTTTAGCCCCACCTGGGGCACGAGGAGGTGAAGCCCCTCCTTGGCCACGAAGGAAGCCGGAAAGCCTCCGAATCAATGCTGCAACCAATCACGCATGGATCTACAGAACACAAGAAAAACCGTTTAACATGCGGAAGAACAAGTCAGCCATCAGGTTGAAACATCTTCATGGATGTTTACGCCTCGGATGCCAGAACCGATCGCAGGGCAGCCTTGGTCACGGGCTTTGGGAAGGTCACACAATCCTTTTTTATCGCCCATGTCTCCACTATCTTGAAAGGCTGGAGCAGTATGCAGATAGATTCCAGCTCAATATCTATGCAGTATATAACACTTCTGAAGCTGTCACACCTATCGGGTGGAATGAGAAGAACCTATCGGAAGACTTCCCCATGTTCCATGCAATGCCATGGGGCAGAAGGACTTGGCATTCAGCTCCACCGCTTTGGCCACGAGGCCTGAAGGCCAAAATGGCCAAATCTCCAGCAAGGTAAGCAAGTACAAATATAAGTCAGCAAAAATAAGCAAGTACATGTCTATATACAGCATAGATCAGTATAGTACATGCACCAAATAAAGTGCATCACCGAGCAGTCAGCTTTCTCAACTGGCGCAAACATCACTCCTTTTACTCGTGGGAACGCTCAAGTCCCAAGTGTTGGGATTCAGTCACCGGCCGCGGTCTTGTTGGGCACGAATACAGCTTGAAACTCATCATCGCAGCCGTCAAAACAAGAGTGTCCAAAGCTTGGCGATCTCAGGTTCAGTCCATCTGCTCACTCATTGCATCGCTACTAGGAGCAAGGACGCTACTAGGGGCTCCTGGCCTTACTACTAGGAACCATACAAGCGATTAAATAGATTAGCAACAAGAAATAGAACTAAAATTAGTTTAAATCAAATAAAAGTGAAGAAATGCGGAACTCCAACTTGAACTTGAGAAGCCCGCCGGAGCGGAAGCTGCTGAAATGCAAGGAACCTAGAGAATACTGCATCATACAGTGATCAGAACGGTGAGGTCAGTGTTGTGAAGTGGATATATGACATATGTGTGTGGGGCCTATGTGATACGCTGCACACATTGGCAGGCAAGTAGACAAACTCGGCAGTAACTAGTATGAAGTGAAGACAAACAGTTGTGAGTCTGCAGCAAGTCTACCTTGCCGCTGGAGAAAGCTCGGAAATGTAAAAATAGACGATAATAAATGTATATATCTGTTTGCCGCACCGTCCTGAGCCACTTCCCTACCAAAGCCATCAGTACCCTCGAGAAGGTTCTCGACAAAAGGATGTCCGCGGGTGGGCATCCCCATCTGAGACTCTGGTAACGGAACGGTGGAGCAAATGCCACCGCGTCAGACCAAAACTTAGGAACTAGACATAATGATCTCTACTTCCTTGCAAGGCTCTTGCAAAAAAGGGACACAAGATGCAAGCCTGCCTGCTGATGTCTAGGTCTGTCTGAGAACTGGTTCAATCAAGGCTTCCAGGGGTTGCATGTGATGAAGGTTCACAATGGTTCACTGGGTAAATTGCCACGAGCTTGGTAGGCAAGCAGGGCTTTCGCAAACAGCTTCCGAAAGGTCTCACAAAGTATCGGCGAGCTGCTGCCTCAGCCAAATGCCGTTTCAATGTTGACACACTTTATAAGCTACTAGGAACAAGTGCATCGCTACTAGTAACAAGTGCCTTACTACTAGTAACAAGAAGCAATTAGAATTTAATTAGAATTAAGTGAAATTAGAATTAATTTCAGTTCACCACCTTAGACCGTTCATATTCGGCGAGGGACCCTTCACTCCAGGAAGTGTTGCAGCGCGCTTCAATCCATGCCCACTTCCTCAAAAGGTGGCAATGTCACAAGCGAAGCATCTGCGGCTACTAATATACATATATATATATATATACTGTATATCTGTATGTGTATATATATATATGTTAATACATATATATGCAGTATATAGTTCAAGCAAATATTGAAGCGTGATTCTATCTATATAGCGTATGTGATGTAAAGGTGGTACGAATGATGAATTCTGTGCAAGCCAGAAGTGTCGGAAGCCCATAGAGCATGCCTGATTTCATGACAATCCAGGCTTGCAGTCTACCAGGCCACGGCCCGCCTCTCTGTAGCGCTGAAGCTCAATTTGATGCTTCAGTGTCTGACTGGTAGTCGCGTGAACCTGGGCGTGGGCCAGTTCTTTGCATGAAGCAAAAGGCGACATGGCAAACACTTGTGGCATGTTGCAACCCCGCCTCGCGTCCAACCAGCGCGCGACGCTCCACGAGCAATGCGTTCCGTTCAGTCTGGAGGCGATTTTGAAAGCAACCATATCTGTAATGGCGTTGGATGAACCCCACTGGTCGGTCAGAGTGTTTGAGACTGGTCAAAGAGTGATTGAGAACACTCATACAATGAAAGGCCTCAAGCAAGGGTTGCTTTACTTGGAGGGATGCAAAGGCTTCGGTGCCAATCGTACAATCGAGTCCTCCAAGGCTGCCAGGCGCTGATCCAAATCCGACAACTTCTGCTGCATTTCCAGATTCCCCATTGGCGTGTCAGGCCTCTCGAAATGGCACACAACCCTGCCGTGACACAAGCCACACAAAAACTTGTTGCTCTAAATCCGACAATGGCAATATCGAAGCAAATCAAGGCCACATGAGCAGCTTTTAGGGCCTCTAAACTCCAAAACCGCTGGCTTTCCTCTTTGGTGTTCAGGGTGACTGTGAATGCCGACACATCCAAAAGCACAGTTGGAACTGGAAGGCCGACTCGTTTACGTTCAATATACAGTGGCCTGAGGGAGTTGCTCCGCTTAACTAGGCGGGGTCGGTCTTCAGCAAGCTTGGCATCCTGGCAGCGCACGTGCAATGAACTGCTAATGCAATGTATTCCACTGCTAGGAGCAGAATATGTTGGGGAATTCATCACCATCGGCCACTGCATCACAGCTCGATACCGGCCCACACCCATTCCTCCAAAGAATAGTGCGAACCCTAAAGAACCCCAACGAGTCCTTTGTAACACGGTTGCGTCTTCCCCTGCCCGGCCCATCTCCTTTTGCAAGTGCCCCAGACAGTTATATACCGAACTAACTACAGTGTCCGTTTCCGTCCTACATGTATCATGCACGAATAGCAAAACTCCTACAAGGTATGCAGTCAGAATCAAATCAGCATGTTGGCAAGTTGCATGGTAAACCCATCTCCGACAATCAACCATCCATAAATAAACTCCTGCTCGCGCTTCTGCTGGTGCTGTATCTCACGGAACATGCGCTTGACAAAGCCCGGGTAGTCCGTAAGAGACAAGAAGTCATCCAGGACCTTGGCTTGGCAAAGTCAGGCAAAGCCTCCTGTGCCATCTTGTCATAACCAGTCGAGGGACATCAACACCATTCAAAACCAAGCTCGACACAATCTGCTCCATGAAGGCCAAGGTACAGCCGATTGCTGAGCTTCCTCAACAAACTCCTCTTGGAAGGTCTTCGCTTGGACAAGGCCCCAAAGAAACAAGGCCTTAAAGCAAAGTGTGTTTGCAAATTCTTGCCGCTTGGGGCACGTCAAATATACTTTGCATTCTTTTCCATTCCTTCTCTCTCCGACGTCTGTGTCTTCCGTTTCAATTGTTTGGTTGTTGCGGACCGCTTTCGCTGCCCAGTGACATTCTGCATCGTCAATTCGGCCTCCGCCTCGAAGCGCTTGTAGATATCAAACCTGGGTTTAGGTATCATGGAACACAACCTCGGGACTCCCGCCCACGGTATACTTTGCCGATTGTGTCCACTCTCAGTTTCACACCATTCAGCTTTTTGCTCGTTCTTGGCCACGTCTGGGCTCTCCAGGGAGGCAAAACGGTGACAGTTGGCCTCAAATGTCCAAAGTCGCGTACTCCCAGCGTCCTGAAGAATGCTGGAATCCGTGCCAAGATGCAGCAAAAAACTGCTCGGCAAAGGAGTTGCACTCCTTAGGTAATCCGCAAAAACATCAAAACCCACACTCTGTGGACTACGCACCTTGGTGCCTCAGAACTCACCCCTTCTCCAACACTCAATTGAGTATTGAATAGTATCGAGTATTGTGGGTTTTTCATGCCCAGCATCCGAGGCGACCAAACCGAGCACTTCACGTTGGGTGGACATGGCTTCACGAGGATCAAGCGCTACCACACTCTCGGGTCACTGCAGGCAAGTTGTTGTGGCGTCGCTGCTGGGAGCCCAACAGCCCAACGAGTGCACAATGCGTGTCTGAGGCAGCTTGATGCCCAAATGTCAAAACTAGTCGCTTCTTGTTACTAATGGTAATGCCCTTGTTACCAGTAGTGATGCCCTTTGCTACTAGTAGTTAGCATATCCTTTTGGCATTCGCATGTTGCCAGGACAAGCTTCGAAACGAGGCTTGACAATGTCAAAGTGCCTCTGAAGCTTTGCCTCAGCAGCTGCTGCGCTTCTGCGACATCTGACGCATAGTCCTCCAAGCAACTTGCCCGGATCTAGACCATAGGCCAGCCATGGCCAGCCAGCTTCTCAAAACAAACAGCTTGATGTAGCTTGACGCTTGACTGGGCCACCCTGCAGCTGCGCGGTCCACAGGCATAGGTCGTGGATCCTTGGAGCTTGGATGTCCTGTCTCATGGACCAGCAAGGACGCTTCTAATAACAAAGGGCATCGCTACTAGGAGTAAGGACGCTTCCAGGGGCTCCTGGCCCTACTACTAGTAGCAAGAAGCTACTAGTAAAAGGGCATTGCTACTAGTAGCAACCCTCGCAGCCGAAAGGTGCGCCACTCCGGCTCCTGGCACCACCGTGTGGAGGACATACCGTGCCTGCCAGTTCGTCGGGCGAAGCATGAAAGAACCGCGAGTGCATGTTGATCGAATCGGCTCCGTGGTGCCTTGAGGTTTGGCGCCTTCGTCACAACCACCTCCCCAAACTTCAAAGAAGATGCCTGCAATTCGCACTAAATTTCACAACAATGGGCGGGCTGAAGTATCTAGACACCTCCTGCGATTTTGCAGCTGTGTTTGCATTACTCTCACTCACCAAAAAGACGCGGCAATGTGCAAATGTCCAGCCTGTGCACGACACTCGGCAAGGAGTTCTGGCCCTGCCTTCCGAAGCATTTATTAATTTCAGGGTGCGCCAGGTAATGTCCAGAAATAGACCATTAGGTCATTAGGTTGGAGGCCATCACTATTCGCTTGGAACATTGCACACTCGGTGCTTCTGCAGCAAGGCGCTGAAGGTGAGTGTGCGAAGTGCCTTCTCGTGTAGCGCGGCATCCGCACTCTTGCGGCCGGCAAATCCCCACCTGAGGTGTTCCAACCACTGCGGAAGGATTCTCGAAAACCACTCTTTGACTCATTCAACCTTGTGAAAGCTATTCAACATTGTTACGGCCATGTATGTTATTTCTATTGCCACACCAGCTGCCCTGGGAGCTGCACCAGTTCCTTCGCAGCGTCCCCTCCAAATGCCGGTTGGTGCTGGTAGCCAACGCCTTCGCGAGAATGAAAAACACAGACACAAAAGTGGCAACTGTAGCAGCGTCAAAGAACCTTTGGGCACCCTCCTCCTCCGCCTCCCCTCCTCCTTCTCCTCCTCCTGCTTCTTCTCCTTCTCCTTCTCCTTCTGCTTCTGCTTCTGTTTCTGCTTCTTCTTCTTCGTCTTCGTCTTCGTTTGCTTGCTGCACTCTTGTGCTTTCTCCTCTGACCTTGTGTCTGTGTCTAAAGCCATAAAGTTCCAGAGGCAGTCTTGTTCTGGATGTGGACTCAGGGTCATGTTCATCATTTCTTCATGAAGCAAATCTAGGACCGACTCAAGGGGGCAACACCCTAGCTTCGAAATAAAGACCTTTAACAATTGCTTGGCAATGCTTGGGCTAGCCGCTTTGGTTTTTTGCAACCATGGCAAACCAAATGACTTGACAATCAAGGAAAATTCGGGGACCACAAGACCAATGAAGCGTGAACCCTACTAGCAAAAGACTGAAGGACTAGCCACGGTGAGGCCAACAAACGTTGAAGATGGCTGCACTCTTGATTGTTTCGGGGACCTTCGTGACCGTTCTGGCGAGAGAACTTGGACAAACAACACCTGGAATCGAAAGCAAACTGTGATAGACCTCGCCCGGCCATTCAGCAAGGTCTGCGTCTGCCAAGCAAAGGAAGCCCCCATGTGGCCTTCACACAGTGTTTGCAAGAAAAAACTCGATAGTGACCCCTGGCTCAAAAAAAGGCCAAAGGCATCAGTTTTTGCAAATCTCTCTGTGGCCGACCTGCGAAAGTAGCGCACTGGCTTCCTGCGAAGGCCGAGGCATCTGAGCTGCCTGGCCCCCCTCACATCCAAACAATATATATATATATTATGTATAGAGCCAGAGCTTAAGGCACATTGGAGATGTAGCAACCATGACTGCACCCTCCGTCCTCGGTAGAAGCTGCCCTGCACTTGCCATGTTCCAGCTTGGACATCTACCGCCATTTTGAGGGGACTGCAGGAGTGGCCCAAAGGGCTTCAAAAAGCAAACAGCCACACATTATAGTACCAAGGACGCTATTGGGTGGAGGCCATCGCTTATTAGGTGGAGGCCATCGCTAGTAGGTTGGAGGCCATTACTACTAGTAACAAGAAGCTACTATATAGTAGCTTTGAAGTGTTGTCCGCCCTGTTTTTGATTCGGCTCGACAAGAAGCTTGGAAAATGCGGGTTCTGAGTGTCGATGAGCTCAAACCATGCAAACGGCCTTCCATGCAAGAAACCTCCCATCCAAGTGGCATGCAGGAACTGAACTGGAACAAGGCTGTTGAAAAGAGTCTCAGTAACCAATGGCCTCAAAAAAGGACAAAGAGTTCCCAACTGACTGAAGCCAGCAACCCAGCTAACTACATTGCTCTCCAATAAATTGCTCTCTCCCAGCAGGAATGACAGCCTCCCCGTTCCCCAAACCCTGGCCTTTCGTCAATGTTGCTCTGCAACTGCTGGATTTCATCCTGTTCAGCCTTGCCGGTCTTTGTGGCAAAGCTGGCATCACTGCTGCGTTCAATGCAGGTCTCTCTTCGCCAGGATCTCTATATTACACACAACTGCATTCGTCTTGCCTAGTTCAGACACACATGATGACAGGGGCTACTCATAACGGGTCAGCAAACCATCAAAATATAGGAATCCGCGGAACGTTTGCTTATGATGCTTGGATGCAATAGGAACATCTGGTTGACGACCTCCTAGCTCGAGTTGTTGACCGACAGACTTGGGCAGGAGCGCAATGGCAAGTATTTACAAACAACAACACTTTGTATAAGTCGGTGCTGACGTCAGATCTATGTGGAGGGCGGTGATCCCTCTTCTTCACCATTCACTTCCCTTGTGTGGTTAACAAGTCAAAGACCATTCCATAGGTGAGCGACCCATGCAAACAACACCAGGCACACGAATTAGGTTTAATGCTAGTGTTGCATCCTGTCAACGGCCACCTTCAAATCTGAATGTGTATGTATACCACACAGACGTTCCGAAAACTCTCTATAGCAGCCAATCGGCCAAGTGGTCCCGCCTGCTGCATTCGCATGCGGCTGAGCCTCTGATCGTAGAAATCCTTCTTTGCTTGCACCAGCGCCTGCAGAGATGAGAGCGACCTGAAATGAACATCTCCGAGCAGGTCTTGCAACCCATCCGACCTCCTCTCTTTCCTGGCACGTTGGCATCCCAACATTACAACACAGTTTCCGCTGTTTCAAGCCATCACTATCAAGTGGCGCTGGGAAAGCCGAGGGGATCGAAGTGCAAATGCTGCAATGGTACGACAAGGTCATGAAACAAAGCACCTGCATCATCTCATCCAGCACCCTCTTGGCCTCATTTCAAGACACATCAATGCACACATGCCTGGGAGGACAGTAGGCTGAAATGGTCAGCATCAGGGCTCCCGATCAAGATGGGCTTCGTCATGATGAATCTGCCTTTGTCGCACATAAATGATGCCTGCCCTAAATTGTGCACTGCTGGGGCCCAGGTGTACCCTAGACGTCACTGGCTAGCGGCTGAAGGTGGGCCAAAACACTGCATCCGATTCCAGGTGCTCAGACGCCAATCGTCTTTTCCGCTCCACTGCGTGTACCATTCCTCCTTCCCCGGCACCTGCGGCTTCCACTTGATTCTGAAATTGAACTGGTCTGCCAACGATGCAAGTTTGATGTCCGCTAATCTGGCATCTGATGTGTCTCCGTGTCTATATGTTTCTATATATATTATATATTATATATATGTGTGTGTGTGTGTCTTCTCTGGCCATACTGTGCATTGGCAGAAACTTTGCAAGGCTCTTGGCCCAGTCTAAGCGCCTTAGATATTAAGCTATAGCTGCTTACTGAAAATGATGTTGGCCTGCCATGGGCTTGAGCTTGCGGCCGACAAATGCTTCGACCTACAAACAAAACAGTTTCAAGTCTTCGGTGGTTGGCTGTGAGTCGACGTACTCATCTCATCTACATAACGAGTACAGCGGCTCAGTATCCAAGCGGCTCAACCCCGAATATCCAAGAAAAGAACTTCGAATACCCAAAGCCTCATGACGAGTGTGAACGGCGTCCTGCAACACACCATCACCAAGCCTATGTGTGTAGTAGGACGTGTTTGGTGTCAAATCAGCGTTCTCAACCGGTTTCTGTGAGAATCTGCAACCCTATTGAAACAATGAAGTGTCTGAAATATCCTCACGACCTGGCTGACCTAGCCATACCTAGCCTACTGGTGCATCTCATGTTGCATTGCCTGCCACTTTGGTTGCCACTCCCTTTGCCAAGAAATGGTCACACCATGGACAGCAACAACCCGAAACAGTCCTCTGATAGCTTGTTGACCTTAGTGGCATTTATCCCGTCAAATTTTCATTAAATTAAAGCTAGTTGTCCCTCTGCTTTGCTATTCCGTCCAGCTCTGAATCATCGAATCCTCTCGTGCTTTGCGTTTGTTTTCAAGCTGGAAACTTAGAGCCAAGGCCAAGTTTTCAGATCTTTGGCAGAGGATTCGTCCCTGCAATTAGCTGTGAACATACAGCTCACTGCAACAAAACGAATCCTGGCTAGAGCGTCTAGGCCCTAGCGGCTAGGCCTAGCGGCTAGGCAATGCAAAAAGAATCTGATTCTGATTGCATTCCTTGAAAGTTTGACAATCTGAATCTGAGTCCTCGTTCACCGGCCTGTTCCACCTCCGACTCACAATCACGAAGGAACTTGGCCTGCAGTTGTCTCCCCGCATCACTCGAAACTCCACTGATTCGATAAATGTGTCTAGGCACTGAGGGGCATGAAATCCAAGAACTAGCATTACAGCAAGAGCCAAGAGCTAGATTAAACATGTAAAGCGCTGATCAATGCTTTGAAAGAAAGATTGGTTCATGCAACCCCGTTGCTGATCCTCTGGGTGACTGGCCAGCTCAGGCTCTCGTTCCCGGAAGTTTTCGAACCTGCCAGCTAGACCCAAGATCAGAAGATAGACGATTATATATATATACTGCTTGATCCGGGTGACTTCCTTCATCCTTTGGTCTTTCTTCCGTTGCGGGTGTGATGAACCCACAGGTTGCCCAACTTGGCAAGTCTGGTTCCAGGGTCAGAGCTTTCTTTCATGTCACAAACAATGTCTGTAACAATGTCATGCATTCCCCCAATGGATCAGAAGAAATGTGAAACTCCGCGCAGCGCAGCACCAAGCTCATGACCATTCATCTAGGTCCGACAGCTGCTCTTGTCGCTCCTTCGTTTGCAATCGATTGAGCCTTGGGCTAGGCAGCAGCGAAGTGCAGCAACATGGCATAAGAGCAGCTTTAGCTGGCTGCTTCTGTGTCACAGCATCGCACAAACCAATTGACAAAGCCATGAAAATGCCTAGGGCCTAGAACAGCTAAGCTGCCCACCAAGCATCGATCTTCCCTCGGTCTTTGTTCAACCTCAAGCGAAAGCCGCTGGCATTTCGCTCCTTCCCTTCAACTTAGCATAGCCTCACCAAGGTTTCTCTCCAACAAAACCTCGAGGTCTCCCGGCACACCTTCCAAACCATCCAGGAGTCTGAGCCGATGAAAGTCCTCAGCATACAGCTTTCACGAAAGGCAGAACTGCAGACTGCAGCCGTTCTTAGTGCGGTTGGAGCCATAGTCATAGTCCATTTGGCAACAATGCACACAACCCAGTTCATTTGTGGCGGCGAAAATGGCATGACCCTAGCCAGCACTTGGTTGCACATGATTGCCTGCCCCATCAGCCCATCGGAATGCAGTTTTCAAGAGGTACTCACTTTTGTCATGGCTTTCTGCCAGTGAGCTTTGGGTATGTGTGGGTGGAAGAGTGTGCCAGGCGCGGCGACAAAAATGTCTAAAGAGGCGCTTATAAGCAATTAACAATTAAATTAACAAAGACAAACATCACAAGAGCAGCTGCAAGTGAACACAACATGAGAACGTCAAAGAATGCAAATATTTAGTGGAGGCAACCTACTGATACACCAACCAAACGCTTCATCTACAGTTCTGTCTGGCAAGATGCCGCACCAAACACTTCACTACAACTTCTCGAATTGGATTCCACAAAAAGATCTACATAAGTTCCTCAAACCTGGGCAGCTTGCCAAAGAATAGCCGGCCTCCAGTGGAGCATTGTTGGCAGGTAGTGGAGGTCGCTGAGGGTCATCTGGTGGAAGCTGGTCCGGCCTCGCCCTCGGAACCACATGCTGCAACAGCAATAACCCACTGTGCAAGGATATTGGAAAAGGTACAGTAAGTTATAATACTCAATACTGTTGTATTGCTTTTCAACGGCAATTGGTGGAACGTTGAAGTTGTTGACACAACAGACTTTGAGGTCCAAGCTCATACTCCCGGGCCTCCGCAAGAGAGGTTCTTATTGTAAAATTAACAAACCCAGGAAACACAAACCAACAAAGGATCACCATGATTCACACTGGTGATTACATGAAGAAGCCTTCCAACCAGGCACATTCAAGCTGTGCTTTGGCCTTCATCTGCTTGGCACGTTCGAGCTCAGCTGGGCTGTAGACACTGGCGCAAAAGCATGTCTCCAACACAAGGGCCCCTTTAAAGGACCCTGAAGTTGTTTTTCATTTATGTCTATATATATCAATCTTTTCTATACGTCTGTTCCAAAACCACAACAAATGCCAGGGCGACCTGGATACAGAGCCCATGAGCTTCTCGCATTCCTCTCTGGCCTGGCCCAGATCTCAAGGAAGAATTCGCATTCCGCTGCTCACGTGTCTGCACAGCAGCAATGAAGAGGCATTCGTCGGCAATGCCAAGAAGTATGAAAATGCGATTCTACAAATTCTACACGTTCCCGCTGCTGCTTGATGGCCGCTTTGTTTGTGCTGAAGCTCTTTGGGTCCATGTACGGGTTCAATGCGCGGAAAGTCAAAGACAAAGACCATCGCACTTGACCTCCATCCCAACCTCATCACCTTCCCTTGATCACGTCGTTGGGTTAAACATTTCTTGAGGTTCTGGCCACCTTTGCCAACTGGACCGGAGTCAGCCTCGAGGCAGGAGGAAGAGTCTAAGACTGCGGCGCAACCGGAACTCAGATGGCGACAGGAAGGATTGCATAAGAGGTTACTTCAAAGAGGCTGCAGTTCACGATCATTAACTACAAACCACTCGTTTCCGCGTACATGCGCACGCAGAAACACACCCGTGATTTTGTATGCGCGTATATGTGTGTCGCCTTGATGTGCTGCCTTTTGCTGTGGATGCCTCACCAGGTCATGACAGCTCAGATCCCATTGCACGTGACAGCTCATGATGAGATGGCTTAAAACCCAACCGAACCTCCTTCCCAAAGCGCAAGCTGCGTGGCGGCAACTGTCCTGTCTGATGATCATCTGATGTGTTGTTCAAAGGTGATTTTTGGCCGCTGGTTGTGCAGTATCAACATCGCAGCTCCACATGATCTCTTCAATTTTTCAACAAGCTCCTGATGAGCGCACAGGTGAGGCCATGTCACTTTGATGCAGCAAGTCAGTCCTTGCAAGCCGTGGGACCTTTAAAACCGCAGTAAGTGACGAATCCTTTGGGGGTTTCAGCAGTTGAATGGCCAAAGTGCCTTGAAGTGCCTCGAAGTGCCTTGAAGTGCCTTGAAGTGCTCCGATGGTCTTGGGATGTCTTCAGTTTGTGGAGATTGCTACAGAACGTGGTGGATCCCCACGGTGTAAGCTGAAGACTTTTATGAACACCTCAAGTGATCATGAGGCTGCCATGTACCAATCTCAAATGCATGTGACGTGCGATTCTTGTGTAATTCTGATTCTTTTGAACCACTGCATTGGTCGTTTCCTCAAAGCGGGCGGCAATTGCAACACTAGGGTCCGCTCCACAAGTCTGTTCGGCATCACACGCCGAAGGCCACGTCTGTTTAGAAATATGCAGCCAAACATCAAACACCCCTTCAATATCCTTCAATCCCCTTGCGCTCATCTCGTTTTCCAAACCGGATTCCTAGTTGATTTCCTGCCTCCGACTCGCCGTTTGCGCAAACGGCCCTAATCAAGATCAGGGCAGTTCAGCCATGGTCAGCTGCGCTGATATGTTTGTAGAAGTCAGGACCGTCTGGTCCACGACAGGGTTGCAGCAAACTACATGGAAGCAGTCTTTTTGTAAATACAGAGGAGGAACGCTAAGAAGATGCAAAACTAAACCCACATCTCCGCATCCTCATCGTCATGCAGGAACTACTTTAGAAGCATCTCTCAGCTAACCGTCACTAACTTGCCCTCCAAACTCTGTAGGATTGCTCGCAAACATCGTGCGAGCGAGGAGCACTGCAAATCAAGACAGCAAATGTTACGTTCAAACTTCACAATACAAACAAAAATGATGTTAAGCATCACTGCACCCAAGAAGGCAATACAATAGTTTTGCGTTTGGCAACTTCACTTGTCAGCGCCTTGCTTTACTTTGCTGTAATGAAGTGCCCACCCTCATTACAAAAGTTTCAGCGGGGACAGGGAGTCTGCCTTTCAGACCCTGGTTCAAATCCGCAGCAATTGCGAACCAAGTGCTGTATCGAAACGAAAAATTGTCCACAGATCCAGCTTCATCACACCTCTCAGCCATCACGTGCTTCACCGTAGCTTGCGTCAGCAAGAAACACAGCATGAGTGGAAGGGGTGTCTGCATGGCTTCCTGCGCTTTGAAGTGCGATGCCAAACCCAGTGGCTTGCCTCAATGACATCTTGTGGTCGGGACAAAAACAGTGCCGCGGAGATTTTGTTGTTTGGCTCTTCTCTGGCAGCCTGCAACTTACAAATGCAAACAACGGCAGCTTGCAAGCTGCATAGCCAGCATTGGCGTTGGAGCTCCAAACAACGCTTCAGTCTCATTGAACTGGGAACTGCTCAACACTTCGGCCCAAGAGGCTCCACAGGAGAAGTTATTTTTGGAAACACCGTATCCAAAGAAACCTTCTCGGCAATTGGCCACGGTGGTCGGTTTTTGAACTGATGGTATAGTATAGTTAGTAGGAAGTCACGCTAGCTTCACCATAAGAGCACGGCCAAAACATTAAGGACGAGCAGGCAGAGGGTCTGGAAAGACACTATCCACAAGGTCTGCAGCTGCAAATTAGGATGCAAACTGGAAGGCGTCCAAGCATCTTGCCTAGGTCACCTGCCACACCTTTAAGTGAGCATGTCCAGGCTGGTCCAACACAACCCGAAGAGGTCTGTGGCCCTCCTTTTGATGAGGAAAAGATTATGCAAATTTTTGACGTTTCAGGTCGTGCCCCTTTTTTCGGCGCATTTTTGGCCCAGGCAACTGTTCTTCGCCAAAAGCCCCTTCTCAAGCACCCATCCCGCCCATGCCACCATGACCTTAGAGGAAGGAACCGGCCCCGCATTCTTCCGGCTCTCAAATTCTCAATGCTCAAAGAACCTTGTTCCTCGTGCATAGCTTCTTGCTCCTAGTAGTGCGCCGGGAGCCCCTAGTAGCCCTAGTATAGCGTCCTTGCTCCTAGTAGCGATGCCAAGAGCCCCTAGTAGCGCCCTTGCTCCTAGAGCTTCTGAGCTTCCCAGCTTTGCACCTCGAAGTCTTTTTCAGTGGCATCCGAGTCTGAACTCTGCGGAGCCCCATTTGGACCCACGATCTCCACGGCAGGCACGCTCAGCTCCTGGACTCGGAGCATTCAAAGTGAGCGGAAGAAACCAAAACGGCCAAACCGTCCCGCAACAGTTTACTAAGGTCTGCTGAGTGCAGTTTTCTTCGTGGAACAACAGCACGGGCACCGTTGCCACCTGACACGGTCGAACACGCACACCGACCCTTCAGGCAGCCTTTTGGGTTTCTCTCCACGGTGGTCGTCGTTGGCGTTCTCCCGCCGTGACGCCCCAGCAGGTGTTCATTCCCTGCCCTGCTCATGCTCTGAAGGCCGTCCTTTGGCCCAGGCTGTGAAAAAACGGTTTCACAGGTCGTTTGCTGGCCTGTGTCGTTAAAACAAAAAATTCGAGCCGATACCTCACGATATCGTTCTCTCCAACGCGTCACTTCGCACACGTTCTGTGCTACACGACACGGTCGAACACTCACATCGACCCTTCAGGCAGCCTTTTGGGTTTCTCGCCACGGTGGTCATCATTGGTGTTCTCCCATGCTGGCCGCCTTCCACCGTAGTCGCCGGCCCAAAAGCAGCTGCCATATCGGAGCCCAGCGCCATGGCTTTCTGTAAGTTCGAGGTGGTCGATGCCAACCTCCTGTAGCGCCATTGAGACATCTTCTCGGCTGACAGGGTCGGAGATGTTGGCGGCGCTGGTCACCCGGCGCCAGTGTGGAGAGTGCTTGCATCCTCCAATGAAGCTCCAAACACCAAAGGGTGAGTCAACTTGGAAGGGCAACATCCTTCTCTAAATTTTACCCCTGCATGGCCCACAACAGGGTGAGTCAACTTGGCATGGCCACTTCCTTATCTAATTTTGACCCCTGCATTGCCCGCACAAAGGGGTGAGTCAAGTTGAAATGGCAACATCCTTCTCTAAACTCTAAATGTTACCCCTGCATTGCCGACAAAAGGGTTAGTCAACTTGGAAAGGCAACATCCTTCTCTAAACTTTACCCTCAGCTTGGGAGGGCCTCTTCCTTCTCTAAATTTTACCCCTGCATTGCCCACAACAGGGTGAGTCAAGTTGGAATGACCACTTCCTTCTCTAAGTTTTACTCCTGCATTGCCCACACAAAGGGGTGAGTCAAGTTGAAATGGCAACATCCTTCGCTAAATTTTACCCCTGCATTGCTGACAAAAGGGTTAGCCAACTTGGAATGGCAACATCCTTCTCTAAACTTTACCCTCGGGTGGCTCACCAGAGGGTGAGCCAACTTGGAAGGGCCACTTCCTTCTCTAAATTTACCCCTGCATTGGCCACAAAAGGGTGAGTCAAGTTGGAATGGCCACGTCCTTCTCTTCCCTCGGGTGGCTAACCAAAGGGTGAGTCAACTTGGAAGGGCAACATCCTTCTCTAAATTTCACCCCTGCATGGCCCACAACAGGGTGAGTCAACTTGGCTTGGCCACTTTTCTCTAAATTTTACCCCTGCATTGCCCAAGTGACTTTCTCACTCATTCCACCAGTCACTCATTCCCTCACTCACGCACGCACGAGCGCACGCATGCACTCACTCAGTCACTCACTCACTCACTCACCCACTCACTCACCCTCACTCACTCTCACTCACTCTCACTCAATCTCACTCTCACTCACTCTCTCACTCACTCACTCCATCAATCACTCATTCACCCACTCACGTACGCTCGCACGCACGAACGATAAAAGTGGCAAGTCCAACTTGACTCACCCTTTTGTGGCCAATGCAGGGGTAATAGTAAAATTTAGAGAAGGAAGTGGCCCTTCCAAGTTGGCTCACCCTTTGGTGAGCCACCCGAGGGTAAAGTTTAGAGAAGGATGTTGCCATTCCAATTTCAACTTGACTCACCCCTTTGTGTGGGCAATGCAGGGGTAAGTTTTAGAGAAGGAAGTGGTCATTCCAACTTGACTCATCCTTTTGTTTGAGGCAGCAAGTCCGCGTGTACAGTTGAGGCATCCCATTCGCGTGTACAGTTGACTCACTTTTCGCGTGTACAGACGAGGTGCCGGCCCTCCCGGGTCTCTGGCAAGCAAGGGCGCCAATGCGTCCAGAGCTGGATCGTCTGGATCAGAGTGGTCCACATCCCAGTGGCCTCCAAGAACGGCTTCGACCGGAGGTCCGGGGGGCTATAGAACAGGTGAAAGTGATGTTCCAGGCGAATGTCCGCCACCGCCATCTCGTCCGGAGCAGCCCGAGCTTGGGCCAGTGCTGCTGTCGCAAGCGGTACGGTGCCATGGGTCCTGTTCACGTATTGGACCCTGCTCCAAGCCCACAAGGCCTCCTTCAAGATCAGCATGCGGTCCCAGTCGTCTAGGTAAGTCCTACCCCATGCCGTCATCGGGGCCAGGAGAGGACATCGCACGATGCCAAGGGGTTTCACACCCCAAAAAGGAATTCGAGCCGATACCTCACGATATCGTTCTCTCCAACGTGTAACTTCGCACACGTTCTGTGCTACACAACAATGACGAAACGACCCTTTCGTGATTTCTGCAAGTCAGCACTTTTAAATCTGCCACAAGAAGACAGCGGACCAGAGCACAGACCGCCAAACTCAAGTCCGTCCTGCGACCACTCGGTTTCTTCACTGTCTAGGGAGTCTAAAGCGCTGTTCATTCCGCTCTCGAGGCCAAAGTCCTTAGCTTCTTGTTACTACTAGCGATGCCAGGAGCCCCTAGTAGCGTCCTTGCATGTCCTTGCTCCTAGTAGTAAGGCCAGGGGCCCCTAGATTGAACTGTCATGCTGATGGAGTATGTTTGTGTTTGGCCAGCTTAGTGATTGCGTCGTTTGTATCTCGTTGTCACCATTCTGGGCCCCCGGCTGACTCTTCAAGGTTTTCAGACTTCCGGAAGGCCCACCCAGTGTCAGCTGACAGCTTTGGCTGCGACCTACATCAAGATCTAGTCAAACAAACCAACAGTGTCTTCAATGAAACTGAAGGACAACACCAGCCACGAACTGCTGGAAACAAGTTGTAAGAGAGTGCTTGGAAAGAAAGTTCTACTTTGTGTGCTGCGATGCTCTTGTGTCAGCTATTTCTGCTATCGGCCAAATTGATCGGATACGGGTCGTCAGTAACACCAACGCACAATCTCCAATCTCACTAACAGCATCACCTCTGCACCATTTCACCATGCTCATCCTCCTCCATGAGGATCAAGTCCTCGTCAATGTCCAACAATCAAGACGTGGACACGAATCAGCGAGTCCGCCCACACGTCAGTCCTTGCGTGTGATGATTCCACCTTGAGCGAAACAGCAGACTCTAGCTGACTGGATCTGGGAGAGCAATTACGAAAGCGGGAGGATTGAGACCCTCTTCATCTGTACAACTTCATGGAACGCTAGGAGCGGCACAAAGGTCGCCATCACTATCCACCACAGGCAAATGTCGAAGGCCCAAGCGTCGAAAAAGCAAAAAAGCGCTGGCCATTGAAGCCTGAGGCGGAATGCTGTAGCCATTGCAGCTCACATACCTTAGACAGATCCAATGCTGTGTTCAGAGGCTTAGTCGTTTTGTTTTGTAATGGTCATTGTCTTTTCTGTTCAAGCAACGGTCGCAAGTCCATATACTTCTGCCGGTCTTCTGTACTCAGCTTCTTTGAAAGACTCTTGATATCCGGGTAGGAATGGATGTTTGGCCAAGCTATCGCCTGACCCGAATGGGACAACGAACTGCTCAATAAACTGCTCAACTATCTAGACCATGATGGTGAAACTCAGTCTTCTCTGAAGGCAACTACACTGGTTTTGTCTTGCCACACAACTCACCACCATCAGCCTGAAAGAAACATTGAAAGAAGTGTAGTTGAAAGCAGACAAGGTGTGTGCACTGCACCCCTCTCATCTTTCATCGAGAAGGATTTCATGAAAGATAAAGCGCTGCGCACAAAGCCTCAAATGGGACCAGCGATCCAATCGGAGCATCTGGAGTGTCCTGGAACATCCCATAATAGCGACCTTGCAAAGTCGATTTCTCTGGATCATTCTTGTACCAACCGTGGATTGGTTTTCAGACCTGATGACTCGGCAATCGTAGCAGTCGTGAGATTTTGGGAAAAAAAACATGTTGCCCCTCTACTTCATGCAAGTGGCAAAGCAAACAAGAAATGTATATATATATATACGTATATATAAATATATATATATAACTACATAAAGACAGCGGTAACTAGCTGCTAGCCCCATTCCCCCCATTGCTGCCATATTCCAGCTTTCACCAGCCTCTAGCCAAGAGCAAATGCAGAAAGCCGCGCTCAATCAATCCCTGGGACAGAACTGTTCGTCTTGCATAAAATTAGTGGTCCAAAACTGAAGTGAAACTTCTTCGGTTTCACCTCCATTTTCATTGTGCCATTCTCCAGGACAGGGAAGCCATTGTGGTTGCAAGAGCGCAAAACGTCCACAATTCGCTGTACCTGCAGGGTCGTGAAAAACTCAGCCACAAAGGCAAGGCTGCAAGTTCTGTGTCTTTTCTCGTTGCATTTTCGTGCCTTCTCCACGCCCTGCAGGGACACCACCTGCGCACCACAAAGCACTGGGTTAACATGCCAAGGAACTGCAGAATAATCTGGCCATACTGCAGCCCATCACAGAGTGTGGGCCAAAGAGGAACGAGTGAATGTGTTGAGGTGAACGATACTGAATGACTGCACTTGCATGATGCCTGACTCGCCATAATGTCCTTCACGGCATACCGGACCATAACGTCTGCAGGTGATTGCTCAAGGAGTGGGATCTGTTTCAAATCAATGATGTGCAGGTCGTAAATGCCGCGATTGAAATAGTCGCCTGCGGGAAAGGAAGAAACAAAACATGTCAGCTTCAAAGACTTCCATAATTGCATGTATGCATATATAGATATATGTGTGTGTGCGTGTTTTGTCCTTATATATAAAAAATGTCTGCCGCAACATTGCATTGGGACTGTCAAGTTGTGCCGCGCCTACCCAGGTAGCAATGACCACGACCATAAAGATTGGCAGGCCGAAGATGCCGGTACCAGTGGCCTCCGTCAGGATCATCGCCAAAGAAATCGTAATCCTGGAGCCACTCAGGGTTTTCAAGAAATAAGACTTACTGTAATTAAATAGGCACCTAGGAACAAGTGCATCGCTACTAGTAATAGGTGCCACGCTACTAGGAACAAGAAGCTATTAAAAACAATAAGCTACTAGGAACAAGTGCAAAAGGGGGACTAGTTCGCTCCTAGGAACAGTACGCAGGATAGCTCACGCTAATGATTTGGTTCCTAGATGTTTAGGGAATCTGGATGAAACTGGCCCTTGTGCTCCTTTTGATATATATTGTGGGGTAAATGCCATGAGTGTGCTGTGCCCAGCACAAAGGGTTGGAGTTTCACTCGCCAGCTTGGCAAAAGGCACAGAAACGGCCTCTCCTCCTTCATACGTGTCTTAGGGCCTTAGGGCCTTAGGACTTTTGGGCATCAAGAGGTCCTCCCAACTCCTGCCAACATAGCACATGCTCCAACCAATGCATAGATGCCGGGATCAGCGGGGCCGACAACCTTGAAGAGTGAACACGCTATAGTATAGCAGCAAACTATATAAGTAACATAAAAAAAGAATAATACAATACTATATGACTATATGTCATAAAATGTAGTAATATATTATAGTATAGCATATTGTAAAATGGCATCAATATACAGTATATATATAATACATATTAAAAAGTATATATATATAGTGTATATATATACAGTATATACCGTCCTTCTGGACTATACACTGTCAAATCATCATGAATGTCAAGCAATGCGCCTGCGGCAATTCGGCCTGAAGCACTTCGCCTACGAAGCGGCCCAGCACTGCACCAGTCAGCAAGGATGGAACGAAGAGCCCAGCAGGGACACCAAGACCAAACCTTGGACGCAAAATGGGTGTGTCTAAAAGCTGAAGTTGAAGCAAGTCCTTTATCTTGTAAGTGCCGGCTTTTCATTGCGCACATGGAGCAACCGCTCCAAGTCCCAATTGAAAGTGCAAGATACGTCCAGCAGGTTGTGGCGAGGTTGAAGAAGCCGAAGAGGATCAGCACGCCCAGTTCATGGAACCCCCTGTGACAAGCCTGGTGTGGGAGGTGGACACCCACACTGCTCTCCGTCGCATTGTTTTTGCAGTGGAAAAGGTCACCTGGCAGCAAAACACAAACCAGAAGTCAGCACACCTGGAAACTGTCATGTCAAGGTTCTTAGATTTGGATTGCATGTCACATGCAGTCCTGAATGCCACATCGCCAAGTGCAGACAAGATTCGGATGGAAGCCTGCCCTCCCTCCAACCAAAGCTGCTGGGTCTGACTGAGCTCATCAAAAATTAGCGGCTGCCAGCCTGTTTTGGAAATTTGGCAAATAACCGCTCAATTCTCAGTTCTTTCACTGAGTTTCACGTGAGACATGTCTTCGCCTTCTCCATTCATTCCAAGGACCACAGATGGTATCCAGAATTTCAAGGAGGCAATGATGAACGTGACGCAAAGCACCTTCAGGCGGCTCCAACCCTCAGCCTGCTCCTCTAGCCCACGACCAAAGCATTCATAGTTGCCAAGTTCAGCAGGCTATAGCAGGCTATATAATTAGCGGCTACAGTAATTGAGCTGGGGAAGCCTACATTTGAGTCACAGTGCACCCACCTCGAAAAAGCGTTTCCAACCAGTTGGGCCGATGCAACGCTTCCTCCACCTGCCAACAAGCTGAAGCAATGGTTGCTTACCGCATCTTGAGAAAAGGAAAAATATTCACAATGTCTGCCACCCAAAATCTGCCTGCTCAAACGGCCATTGAAGTGGTTGAAGGCCGCACCCAGCAAGCCACAAACAATACCAATGAGAGCGAAAATAAACATCTCCAGAAAGTTATACCTTGAGTCCCATCTTCCAACAGACAGCGGCCAAGCACATGGGTGGCTGTAGAAACTGAAAGCACGTGTTGAATTTGAGTGGCCAAACTCAAATTGTACAAGGTATGTTAAGACACACTTAACTCTGCTTAACTGGTACGTGGTTCAATTGTTTTGTGCTCAAGAATTTGCCCAGCTTGATCACGTGGGGTACTTTGGGTGTCCACACGCAACACAATACACCGCAAGCTGGACTCAAAAGACCTGTCGAAGTGCAAGTCTCACATCATCTCACATCCCTCCCTTTCTTTCTGACCCCTCTCAGAGTTCCTATGTCCCATTTGTTCCATGCTGTTCCAATTTAGACAAGGAGCGAGACCTCAGTGAAGCGACCAAAGCTGACCGGCACCCCAGTCCCCAACCTCAGTGAAACGAAGAAGCTCACCAAGAAGCTCACCGCGAGGTCTGAAGTCACCAAACTCACCAAGAGAATCCAAGAGACAAGCTCCAAGGGTGGCCACTGATGATAGGGCCCAGAGTGAGGCGTGTAACCAATGTGGCCACCGAACTTGAGACGAAGAGTTGTGTCAGGATCCTAGACGAACGGAAAACTCACTCACATCACGCAGTAGCAAGAAGCTACTAGTAACAAAGCACCTTACTTAACTACTAGTTTACTAGTAACGAGAAGCCACGGAGTCACGGAGTCACATTGCATACTTTCTCTGAGGCATCGTCCTTGGGGACATATGGGATGCGCCTTCTTCCACCGCAAAGAGAACCGCCCCAATCGGTGCACCAAAGGCCGCACTGACACCAGCCGCAGCTCCAGCCGCGACAAAGTCTCGGGTCTCCACCTCACCAATGACATTGAGAGCATAGTGTCTGGAAATTCTCACAAAACGACCGGGACAAAAACAAAACAAGCTTCTCACAATACTCTCCATCTTGATGCACCACGACCAGGGCAAATGCTAGCATTTCTCAATTTGATGATTTCTCACCAAGATGCATCAAGGTTCAGGGGACGCAAGCGCCGCTCTAAGTTGAAACACCTCAGTTCTTCCATGATCTGAAGTTGTCAACAAAGGAACTTGCATCATTCCTGCTCCTTCTGATCCAAATTGGTCGAGCAACGTGACCATTGCACCAACGATGGCACCGCTATGAATCATCGGCCCTTCCTTGCCACAAGGCAAGCCTGCAACCACCTCAGCGCTGGCCAGTAAACCTCTGACTCTGAGTGTAAATGCTGGTGTTGTTCCTGGACTTGGCCTTCAGAAAAGGTTTTCTCCAAGGATCTCCTCACCACAACACATCAAATAATTCAATCTGCAGGCTCGAAAGCTTCAAACAAGTTGTTCCCATCCTACACAACGCTCTTACTCAACTTCTGACTGCCTGCGCCGGTTTCATCTGTCTCCAAATGTCTCCTACACCATAACTTAATGCCTCCGCCACTGTATGATTCCTTGCTATTGTACCCGTGTCCCAACGGCTCTGGGAGGCCCAACCGAAAAAACGATGCCGACAGCTTTTGCAAACAGAGTTTTTCCAGAAACCAGCTTCGGCAGGTGAATTCCATTCCTTAGTTGCTGTGATTTTCAGGCATTGTAAAAAATATACAACAATACAAACAAAAATTTGCATAATTCTTGCACACTTTCATGTTCAACCTTTCCTTCCCGTGGTTGCAAAACATGAAGCCAAGAAACAGGAAACACTTGATCTCGGGGATGCCACTACCCGCTGCCAAGACCTCTACAAAGCAGACTAGAATGCCTGCTATTGCTGCCGCACCTCAGGCAAGGGTCTGTCCTCAAAAAAAGTCCTGGAAATCTTCCATGCTGACAAGTGAGCTGCTGGATTACGCAGATTCTAGCGTGCAACTGTAGCCATCCGGTCGGCAGCGATTTCTGGAACGCTCCACTACATGCCAGGCAAGTTGCATAGACAGAATCCAATGTCACAAAGGTACTGAGCTCCGAGAGACTCGGTGCTTCTACCCACTAGATCCAGCAGCTTGAGTTTCTCCTTGGGAATCAAGGCAGGTTTGCAGGCTCAACCGCATTGAATCCTTCTATAAAATTGCCCGTCAACCCCGCGGTTGACAGTGAATACGCTTCCCCCTGTTGGACCTTGCATCTCAAACCCCAGAACTCCAATGTTGGATCTTATGTCAGGTTTGTTTCATCTTGATCCGCCTTTTCATTATCTCCGCTCTAATGTCACGATTCTGAAGGAAACATGGCACACGAACATGGCGCTCATCAACCAACATGGACAGGACATTCCACACTCCCGCTGCCTCCAGCAAATAGTGCAATGAGAGCTCAACAGCCACAGCGACCTTGCAAAAAGATTGAACAAACATTCATCAAAGGTGTTGTTTTTCTTTGGTGTTAGCACGGGGTTGACTTGCAAAAACGGACTTGGTCTGTGTTGAAGGAACAAATCGATGTGGTTGCCCTCAACCGCCAATAGACTCCACTGTGTTAAGCGCGTCCAAAACACCAGCCCGGCTCCAAGGCCAATCAAGACCAGCAAAAGCCAACGCATAGCACCGAAAGATAGCCATATGCTTTGAGTGAAGCTTTTGCTGAAGAGCCCGATTCGATCAAAGTAGTCCTCGTCAAACAAATATCCGAGCGTCTTAGGAGGTCATGCGTTCACTTCTCGTTTGTGAAACCTGCATGCTGAAGGCATCAAAAATCTGATCGCGGGTCTTTGAAAAGGAAAAGAGTTCAAAATGCCACCGAGCCCATTCACTTCGATTCGTGCATTCGGGGTTCGACGTGCTGCGCTGACTCATTGACCCCATACCTTAGCTCAAAACCGAAATCCTTGTTCAATAATTACATGTATCACTCCAGGCCAGTTTGATGTGGTTTGAAGCCTGCGACCAAGCCACCCAATGGATTCAGTTCCAGCTGGTGCATCCAAGAACCTGCTGTAGACACGAGGTTGTACTGCGATACCTGAGTCACTTCGGGGCACTGAAACCCCGAGCATCCTAAAGGTGAGAACGTCATTCACCCGATCAAGCACTGAAGACTTCAAGACAAGAGTCGTGACAAATACCGTTTCGTTCCTGGCACCACCATGCCGAACAAAGAAGCTGGTTTTGGGCAAACAGCCCGGTGCAGCCCTTGCTCTGATTGGGAAACCGGTGAAATGATGTGCCATGTTCCTTTATTGCATTTTTGAAGGCGTTCGCAAAGCAGCAACCTGCCGGATGAGTTCAGTAAAGTCGGACTGTGCACAAAACAGACTGGGGCGGTTTGTCTTCTTCATGGTGTTCTCCGAATACCTTTTGGGCCAGCTGCGGGCACATGTACACGCACACACATGCACACAATATCACACAATGCAATGGACAACCAAGATTGCCAGTCGAACAAAGTCAACCACTGCTGCGTTGCACAAGCCATGCCACGGAGCCAAGCAACAGACCCTGACATAAATGAAGAAACGGGTATGGTATATATTATATATAATATATGAATGTAAGTATATGATGCTGTGTCAGTGTACGCTTGAAGATCGAAACCGACCACTTTCGTGAGTGGAGGAATTACAGGTTTCCCGCCGTTCTGTTTCTGTTATCGGTCCACTGCTTGACCTCACATGAATCAAACTCCGAGTTGCACTCACAGACCCCTTAGAGGCACAAGGCGTGCAAACATAGAGGGCACTTGGCTCAACTCATGCCTGGACCAGGTGGCCCAACAATCTATATCTGCACAATTTCTGGGAAGCTACGTCCACTTCATGCAAATCTCTTCGGTGGACAATGCGGTGACAGCCCATTCTTGATTTGTAGTTTTGTTGTCGCGTCACTGCTGTCAAAAGGACGGTAGTTGGCGATCATTTGTCAACATGTGTGTTTTGCGAGGATTCGGGACAAAAAAGCCTCAGCAAGTTCATGCATGAGACCATTCACAAGGAGCGCGCACTCACTTTCACTTTCCGTTCGGGACCAAAAAACGTGTTTGCAAATCGCAAGGCTCGCCAGCAACCGTCATCGAAGTCGATGCCCAACCGTGGCACACGACTTTCGCATAGCCCACCCCAAGACCGAAGCGAACTCTCCAGGACTGAGACCACATCCTTGTCTAATTCCTGCGTTACTTTGAAAGTTTTCCTAGTTGGAAACGGCCAGGTAGATTGCAACAAACACATTGCATCACCCAAACCAACTGTTCAGAAATCCGTGAGGCAAGGCGCCATGTATTCCAATCAATTCCGGCAAAAGTTTTGGCACATTGAAGCTTCCCACGGTGGCTTTACGCAGGTCGGCTACATTGGCTACATGTCTGCAGAATATTCCATCAACTGTCTGTGCAACCAGGGTGGGACACACAAAAGCAAGCAGCAAACAGCAACAAGCAGTATCCGGTTCCGGCCGCATTACTTCGCCGAAAGCAACCGCTCGCCCCAACGCAACTTGCAAAAAACACACCAGTAGCAGTGCCCCATGACGACAACCTTCCGCTACGGTCATGGGCCTGGGCTGTCTGGTCGCCATCCAAAAGCCGAATTGCGGGGCACGGGACTTAATCGCGTGCGACTTCTACGACGCGTGTTCAACACCTGACGCAGCCCACACCAGTTCGGCCCCTCCTCCGGGCGGGTTCCGCGGCCCTCATCCACGCACCCCATCTCACCACCGAGACATCTTCGTCTTCCACCACCAGCCGGTAAACAGCATAGAGTGCGTTGCGATCACCTACTTCCATGGCCATCACTTGATTCATTCTCGACGCCATGCCTTGCCCTGTAGGCTGCTAGCTTCTGCAGCCTCTTCAAACTCTCCGCCCTCAACCTCATCAGCTGCTCTTTCAATGGCTCTCCTTCAACCACCTGCAAGCGCTTCACAAAGTTACAAACTGCCATGCTGAGATTGTTCTCGGCATCTCGTACATCAGCTAGGAACCCTCAGGTCAAACGATGTCAAATGTACTGCCGCCATACTTGGATCCTGAGTACATCGCCAGTTGCTTTCTGACCATCTCGCCAAACCATGCCCAGCCGTCCTTGCCACAAATCGGAAGTTGGTCGTCCTCATGTCATTCCCGGTTTGGAGCATGGGCATTCCTTCGTAGCTCTCAAAGCTAAGTTTCTCAGCCAGTCCCGGCAAGGCAGGGAACATTGCGCGACCGAATCCCCCCTACATCAAGAAGATGCTAATTCAGCTCAGTGGCAAGAAATCCAAGACATTGCCTCATCATAGCAACTTGGAGGTACTTGACCAAGACAACAACAAATACCATGAACGATTGAATGCCTGATCCGATCAGGGCTTGCAAGGCACTCTACACAGCAAAAGGCAGAGCTGTTTTTGAAAACGTTGCCAAGGTACGTTGCCGGAGGAACAATTGGCGTATACGGCTTTGCGACACCTTGGGAGTTCTTTGAGCAAAGATCCCATCCGAGCGTCCTGCACGGCTTTCCTGAATGGAAGCTTGCTTGTTTCGTCATGCGAGTTGCAAAGTTCAGTTGCGCTGCCGGGCAGAAGCAGAGCTTTACGAAAGCTGCGCTGTCACTGCTGAATTTTTGGCAGCCTACTTCGGCCCCTGGTAGTTTCAGCAGAGGTTCAGATGACACAGTGACTGTGCCGTAGTGCGTGACATTATGCAACGCTGCACGGAAAGTTGAAGCCATGCAGTTTGTGTATTCAAAGCCTTGAGGGAAAAGGCGATCAGGTTTGAGAGTTCCCACAGCAATCAACTCAGCAGGTCTCAACAAGTGCCCTCACTCCAACGAAATGTTGCCTTCCTCTCACTTGGCAACTAAATGTAGCAATCTCCGTCTTCCTGCTTTGAGTACAGAATTGTCTGCTTGGCCCCCCCCCCAGCCGGGCTGCCAACCCACCCGCCCACATTGCTTCACGGAAAGAGTTGCGTCCTTGACGTTAGCCACATAGGGACATAGACGCAAACACTCCTGGGCTTAGCTTCAGGGTGAACCAGCGGGAGTTGGTCTGAACTGGTCTTCACCTGTACTGTATTGCCCGTCCGGTATTCACACTCCACGATTCGGCAACTTAAACTGTCGATCACCGTTGCGTTTTGATCGTCTCGTCGATTTTCGGGTGAACTTATTGGACGTTTGGAATTTTCACTTTGACCAAATCGAAACTACAAGTCCTTTACACCTTTTGTGTGGAGTGCCTTGTGGGTTCTGTCGTTGACCGTTTGTTAAAAATCAGACCTGACATCTAAACAGCTCCGTGGAAACTGGTCCGGAGATGGAGTCGCCATGTGGTTCACCTACGGTTTGCGACAGAGAGTTGGATGCAGGCTCTCGTTTTCACGGCGTCCTACTCGGACGACTTGGTCTTGGACTTGGACTCTCCGGATCTGAGTCGCAAGGCACAAGCCGTGGTCGATTTGATCCTGTCTCCTTTCCGGCGTTCTGCAGATACGCATGTGCCGATGATGGTGGGCTCTTCTTTTTGCCAAAATCATATTGATGTCTTTAATTTTCGGGCTCGGTGGTATTTTCTGCCGGGTGCTTAGTGCCCAGCACACAAGGAGCAAGACGAATCGGAGTCTTTGTCACCGCCGGACCGATTGTAAAGCCCGGGGACCAAATAACGTAGATGGCCTGTCAGCATTGCGATTAAGCCAACATCCGGGCTTGGACTCAATGCTTGAAGCGGTGAAAACATTGAAAAACCATCGAGGGGCTATGCAAGACACCGTACAGTGACCTGTCATGGCTCGAGTGGGCCGACGACTGACCGGAAAAGGCAGTGCAAGTTGCTGGTGTTGTTTGTGAGGGGCTACACAGCATTACATAGCAGACCTTGGCTAATTTTTGAGTTTCTTAGAACTCAACTCAACTTAACTCCAAAACAATATATAATCCCACTAGCCCGAAATGCAAAAAATTATCTAAAGCGCATTGAGCCCTGGGCATGTTGCTTCCCGCGCTAACCCCGTTTACCCAACATGTTGCAGCACACACGACTGAATACAACGGTTTCTCTGGATTTCTCAAAGATCTGGCTATGCTTGCGGTTGCCTTTTGCAAACCTGAATTCAATTCCTACAGGTGAGGAACGAGCACAAAACGCAGAGCATCTGCAATCCGATCACGCTACTGTAAATTCATTGCACGGGAAGGCTGCAGCTCGCACGTGTTGGATGCATTTGTGGGACTGCAGCGGCAAAGTGCACGGTAGCCTTGAAACTTGATGGCTTCAAGAAAAAAGAGAGCATTTAGCGAATCTATGAATCTAGTTAGTGTGCGTCTTGCTCACTGGCTGGCACGCGGCACTTGTGAGAATCGTCGGCAAGGGGTCAGTCTGTGCAGAAAAATCTTGCGAAGACAAATTGCGCATCAAGGTCTGCAGAGTGTTCTCGTAGTGAAGATGAGAAACCTCCAAAGCTTTGCGAATTGTATTGCGGACAAAGGTGTTCATTGCATCGAGACCTCCTGGCATTTGCTCGATCAGAGAATGAATCATGAGTCGGTCTTCTTCAGCTGTTGCTTGAGCGCTACGAGTGTCCAGCTCTACAGCTGTTTTGGCTACAGCCACTGCGACATCCGTACCAGCTTTGCCCTTCTGCAAAACACCAGTGGAAGTGCACAGAAGCAACCCCTCAAAGCGACCACTTCGATTTAGGCAAACTGTTTGGTGTACCTCGAAAAGACACCAAATACGTTGGAGAGGAAGTTCATGTGTGTGTGTGGCATTTATATGTTGCCACAGCCTGGGCCCACCGAAGTGGGTAGCTGGAGGCAACTTTCGGGGCGCCAAAGCGCAAAAGTGTTCGAAGCAAACAGCTTCGCCACCAACCCTGCTGCACGGCGTGCAGTCCATTGATGACATCTTCCCGTTTCCGACAAGGCAGAAATTGAATAAAAGGAATCACCAAGCACATAAGGTCAGCTGAGAGCTGATGACTCGACATGCCTACGCAAATCAAGCAGAGCTTGTTTCTGTCTTGCAACAGCAATACTACTCCAAGCCATAGCATCATCGACTCGACGAGCCCAAGCACTCAAAGAATCGGCACAGGGCTGCGCAACGGCCTGAACTGCCGCATCAATTCTGTCATTGTAAGTCCGCCAGACAGCAGGGGAGTGGCCATCTGGCGGTGTCCAATCTTTGGAGCGGCCGTGGGCCGGCACCCATGAAACTACACTTTC